AGCTCATCGAGAGTGAGAGACTTTAAGTTTCTTGCTTCGATAATGGTCGTCTTCTTCGATTGCCACTCCTTTGGAAGATAGTAGATCATCTTCCTCATAAGCTTCTCATTAGGGATTACTTTTCCATATCCCTTGAGACCGTTGACAATCACAGAAAATCTATCCGTCATAGCTTTGATGTCTTCATCGGGTTTCATTTTGAAGTTCTCGTAGCTATGGTTGAGAAGACTTTTCTTTGATTCCCTCACTTCGTCGGTTCCTTCATGAGTGACTTGGAGCTTATCCCAAATCTCTTTGGCACTGGAACAAGATGAGATTCTTCCATATTCATTTGGGCCTAAAACACATAATATAATATGTATAGACTTAGAGTTAAGCTGCAAATTTTTCTGCTCTTCTCTACTCCAATCGTTGTACTTTTCGGGTGGAGAGGAGTAACCGTCCATGATTGAGTTCCAAGCTCCTAGATTGTAGGATTGAATAAAGTACATCATCTTATTCTTCCAATATGCATAATTTGCTCCATTGAAGAATGGTGGCTTGTTGACCGGTTGTGAATCCATAATGGGATATTCTTCAAGATAATAAGCACAGGAGGAAAAAGTCATTTATTTTTCGGTTGCGTCGGAAATTGGTAGAGCTTCTTCGAGGATCATCTCAAGGTGGTTAAACCTTCTTAACGAGTTAGCTCTAATACCAGTTGTTAGGATCGAGTCATACATTTCTGAATAACTTCCCAGTGGGTTACTCATCCTTGGATTTCCCTAGTTCAAGCACGCTTAACCACAAATTTCTGAAGCGAATGATCGCCATTCCTTCTTAAAACCAATTGGTGATAAGTAGGTGGGCTATTTTAACCTCGTATCTTTGTAGCGGGTGATCACTGGGTTTCCCCAAGCCAAGGTGGATTCTTGTGGGACACCCCCACAGTTCACCACGGCATTGCAGAGCCCCGCATCTATAGCGTGATACGGGCGGGCCTAGCGGTTTTGCCAAGCACACGTGGGCATCGGCAGGTTGGACAGTCACGCACCGATATCGTGCCCATACACGATAGAATCCCTAAGGGTGACCGCTAGACCCTATAACCCAACAATCACCCCCAACGACACCTGGGGGATTCGAACTTGCAACCTGCTCTGATACCAATTGTTGGGATTTTTGAAAGCTCGATTCGACAACCGGAACGGTTTGAAAAGAGGGGTCGGAACGGTTTTTGAGTTTAGGGAGTAAGGAGATTGAAAGATAGAAAATTGCACAGCGATTTAGAGTGGTTCGACTTTCTAAACCAAAGTCTACGTCCACTACCTTAGCTCTTAACCAAGGATTTTTCAACAAATTCACTAATTTGTTCTTTCTTTTGAGGATAAAGAGATAACCTTACAACTCCCTAGTTTTTCCAGGCTAAACTAGAACCTTTCCCTAGCTTTTACACGGGATAAGCTAGAACATTTCCCCTTTACAAAAGGATAAAATAAGTAAACAAGAAAACCTCTTTAAGGTAGGTGTTTACAAGATTGAGCTCACAAGAACAAAATATTTACAAGAGAAAGATGAAATAAGATTGAAAAACTCTTCTCTTGTGTTTGATTGCTTGGATAGTTGTTCTCTTACTTCTTCAAGTGTCCTTAGCTTGTATTTATAGCTTGGAATGTGTTTGATGTCGTATATAACCGTTGGGAATGTTTTGGAGCCATTTGGGGATGATTTTTCTACTCAAAAAGGTTACCCATAACATGGTGCATCGGTGCACTATCAAGATGCATCGATACCCCTTCATTAAATTCAAATAAACTAGCCGTTACTAGCCGTTGCAGCCTTGGTGCATAGATGCACAACATGATGCATCGATACACAGCAGGATGCATCGATGCATAGCAGGATGCATCGATGCACTAATTGCATTCGAAATGGAGTGCATGGATGCACTGCATGGTGCATCGATGCACTAGTGGCAGGTGCATGGATGCACTGCACGGGTGCATGGATGCACTGCACGGGTGCATGGATGCACTTTAACACCCTTTAGCATTTTTGCTCAAATCTGAATTTAATGGACTTTGAATTATTTTTGAAACCTTTTTAAAACTTTGAATAAATTCAATTCAAGTCCAAAAATATTTTGCCTTTAAATTTGTTATATCGAAACATAATTCAACAGTATTGAGTCATGTTTCATTGAAGTTGGCAATTAATTGGGATAACTTTCTTACTTTAAATTTTCTTGGTTGTATATTTGCTTGATTGTTACTTGAATTCGGCAAATGTCATGCACTTAGTTCGAGTGGAAGTCTGAGGAATAAATTGAAATTAAAGATGACAACTTATGATTTTGATATGTTAATTGATGAATGCTTGAGGACAAGCATTGAATAAGTGAGAGGGAATTTGATAAGTTCTTAATTTAGTTAATATTTTGCTTTTAAATTACTCCTTAATCATTGGTTTTTGTTGCTTAATTGTTCATTTTCATTCATTTTATGTGCATGACATTAGATTTTGGAAATTACACTAAAAGGATAGAATTTTGCAGTTTTTTATTTTCGGAATCAAAACTGGCTAGAATTCGGATTTGGATTAAACTCAAGTTTTAGGATAATATTTTAAACATTATATTTTATCTTTTTTTAGGCATTTTAGTTTAAATAAGTTTTAGGATATTATTTTTATATTTTATCTTTGTTTTAGGTATTTTAGTTTAAATAGGTTTTAGTATTTTAATTAGGATTTAGAATATTATTTTAAACATTATTATGTTTTAGGTATTTTAGTTTAAATATTTTTAAGTGTTTTAATTAGGATTTAAGATGTTTTAGCTTGTTTTTAGGAATTTGAAGGCTATAAATACCCTCTCAGGGTAAGCCTAGAAACATATCTCTCTAATTTGAGAATAAAATCTTCTTTTTTCTCTCTAGTTTTATCTCTATTTTTCGCATACTTTTCAATTATCCTAAGTATGACTTTGATCATGCTTAGCTAATTTTCTTTCAAGCCGAAGGCTAAAGCGGAGACTCAATTCCAAACATGAGAATTGTAAGGTACTTAAATCGCTTCGGATTTCTCACTCTGTTTTCTGAGCTTACTTTTCAAATCAAAACGATTTCTACATTGGTCCGGATATTGTTATGATTAACGTTTGAAGAAGGATTTGCTTATTGAAGCATATTCAACTTCCCAAGAACACACTTAGCAAAATTGTTTGCTAAGAGGAAACTGAGATCGGAATCAGTTATTATTAAAACGACATAATCGGAGTTGGCAACAAAGAATTGTCCTTGTAAGCTGACATGAATCTTGAAGTAAAAATTTGTTTCGATGATCCGAGGAATTTATGGCAAAGCTGAAGTATGAGGCTACTTTCACAATAAGTTTCTCTTTATCTCAATTTCTTTCAATTATTTATTTAATTATTTATTTTATTTAATTATTATCTTCTATTTTAAAAACTACTTTTAAAATCCCTTTTTTATTTTTTATTTTATTATTTTTCCTTTTATTTTAATAAATCTTTCCAACTTTACCTGGAGTTCTATCTCCTCCTAAAATCAAGAAATAATTTTACTAAAATCAGAAACACCACAGTCCCTGTGGATCGACCCTGCTTCTCTATACTACCTTTTCCTTTCTATTTAAGAAGTCAGAACTATTTTTATAGCAAAACGATGGTTATCACCTACAATGGTAAACCACAATCATAATTTAATTATTTTGGGAACACAATAACCATACAAGAAAAAAATTAAAAACCTAACCAAATAAACTCAGATAAAATATAGATACGAACATATCTAACTACAACGGTAATTGAACCACAAAAGGGGATGAAGCTATTGAAAGACCACGGTGAATAGTAAATCAAAATTGAACGACATGAAAATACTATCTACGAACGCAAAACGTGTAACCAAATCAAATTCAAGGGTCCAAAGCATGGAAAATCAACATGATAACAAATAGAGTGTCATCTTGATCAGTCTTAGCGATTTCAAATCCAATCCTAAAAAAATAATAAATGAAAATAACGATAAAACAACTGAAAATGTGCTATAAAGGCAAAATACATGTCATAAAAGCATAATTACTAAAAATAAAAAATAAAAAAAATAAAAATACACTATAATAAAACAAAGGAAAAACAATAAATATCGACGGTCAATAATTAACATCAAATCTGATGTGGTCATCATCACAAAGATAAAAAAGAAAAAAACTAGTGATAACTAAAGAAAATAGTGAAAAATAGAACAAACCCTAGAAGTATTTAGTAAAACAACTAAGAGAAACTATATTAAAAAATTATTAAAAGATATTTAATCTCATGTATTTAATCAAGAAATTATATAAATTTATGTATAACAACTTATCAATCTTAAATTGAAGGGTAAAATATATAAATGATATGTGGTTATAATATGATGGTTTATTGAGTCATCTAACTATTAGAATTTATAAAAAGATTTTGTAATTATAGAATGTTATATTTTATTGAATTCATAGACATTAAAAATTACAAAACGATCATTCTATTCATTATGTTTAATTTTTTTATTTTCTGTTAAAAAATTGACGGACGTGTGAGTTGGACATTAACATGCTACATAAGATATGATAGTTATTTGAGATTTTGATATTAGACTTTATCATCCTAATTAGCATATTAACGTCTAACTTATTTTACCGTCAATTTTTTAATAGAATATGACAAATTTAAAACATTAATGAATAGTTAAATATAATTTTTAAAATTTTAATAATTAATAAATTCAATAAAATAATATTTTATAATTAATGAATTATTATATAATTAATAAATTATTATATATTTTTTTATTAGTTAAGATACTTAACAAAATAATTAGTGTAGTGCAGTCATGAATCATTTTATGTACCTTATGGTTAGATGAAATAGTAGAAAGTAGTGTCATAAGCGTAATAAGACAGTAACCTCAGGCTCATTTAGTAAGCATATCTACTATATATTTGGTGCGTGTACCAGAGTTGATCTTATCCTTATCTCTTCTTTTTTGACAAAAGACAAGCAAATGGAGATACTTTCTCAACGACCATCGTCTTTCTCAACTTTGAATCCCAACGCTCCGATGTTCGTTCCTTTGGTGTATCGGACGGTCGAAGATTTCTCTGATCAATGGTGGGCCCTAGTCCAATCCTCCCCGTGTTTCCGCGAATACTGGCTTCAAGAACGTTTCCACGATCCCCTGAACGGCGAAATCAACGACGATGATCTTGTTTTCCCCGACGATCTCGAGGCGATGTTCGGCGAATACGACGACGTTTTCGTCGACCCTAGCCGTAAGTCACTCATTTAACACGCCCGAGTCAAGTCTATAGTTAACTCGGATCTCACCTTTTATTTTTTGTTAAAAATAAATCTTTTTTGGGTTTCAGATGAGGAGAAGGAAGAAGATGGTGAAAGGGAGTTGGTATCCGTTGGAACATTCAAGTGGCGGAAGGGCCGAGTTATAAGTGAGTTAACAAGGGTTCACGAGAAAGCACCGAAGATGGTAAACGTGAAAGTGAGTCCTAAGACTATTCACCAGCCGAGGTAGATCCATTCAAGTAGATCGTACATGGGAGGTTTCCTCTAGCCGAAAATAATCATCTTTTAAGTTAAATCTGCTGTGACCATTTTTCTTTTCCATTTTGTAATATTTTGTTTTAGATCTCAGTTTGTCCATAATTTGTGCAACTTTCTCCTAGTAATAGAGGAATGACCCCCATCTCAAAGATACATGGAATTCGAAGGATATAACTAATTTAACTAAATAATGATACAAAAATCAGATTTTCTTTAAGGTCTTAATGTGTAAACAAGAAAGAAAATGAACTGTTTGTTGTTAATAGAACACCCTTTACTTCCCTCGTACATTGAATACGCTTTTAGTTGAGAGCTTCATGAATTTGATTGGTGTGGGGGGGGGGGAACATTTCTACCATGAGAATTGGTGTTAGTGAATTTGCAACAACTGGAAATGTTGTGTTGGTAAAGAGGATAATGGGAGGTTGGGCTTGAATATATGGACAGTACGGAGGGTTTATGGCATTTGAATCTTTATGAGCGATTGGATATTTCGCTTGACCTTTGTTGACAACTAACTTCATACCAACATTTAATTTATTTTGAAGGAATGGTTCATCTTTTACAGGAAATACATATAAATCCCCATAAAATAAATAGGCAAAATACACAATGAATCTGTTGGAGTATACAATTTTTATTTTTCTTCTAAAGGCTTAATGCTAAAAAAAAATAATAAGTGATTAAATTACCTCTTTAATTTTAAGTATTAAAGTAGTAAAGAATGTTGAAATAAGTACTTAAAAATTAATTTTAGGTACATATTGTTTTTTTTTTTAAATTTGGTGTAAAATAAATTTTTTCGTTAAAAAAAATTGTCATTTTATCTATTAAATATTTAGATACTTATGTTGCACCAGGAATGACTTAAACAAGAGTTATCGTGTCTCTTAAAAATTTAAAAGTATAATATATTTTAAATTTATTTATTTATTTTTTATTTAAATTTATTTTTAACTTTATCTTAAAATTTTATGAGATCAAATTTATCCTCTTCCATAAAATATCACATCTGCCTGATGGTAACGTCAGTTAGGTATAGGTTTCACGTTTATATATTCCTTTTTTTAAATGTTTACTGTTGAAATTGACTTAGAATGCAAAAATACGTCAAAGAAGAACAAATAACGGGAAAAAGTAAATGTGTTAGGTTACCCTCCTTGTTCATTGTATTTGACAGATGAGGCACAAAGGACAAGAAAGCTAATCAAAGCACGGTTAGCATCATTAATCACAGATGCACAGTTGTAAAAAGCCCAAAGAGAATGTAAAACGTCTAATGAGAAACCATACAATTTCAAAGAAAAGAAATGGAGGAATTGTGGGCAACAAGGTACTTGACCTTACCTATGCCCTTTACTATTCTTCAATTTATATATCCCAAGTCCTTTAGTGAGTCAACACTATAGGTTTGACCCACCTTTTGAAGCAACAGGAGAAACAGAATTTGTTAATCAAACAAAACGGAAACTGCCTGAAGCTAACAACCTTCAGCAGCCAGCATACCCATTAACCACATTTATCTTAACATTCACCCTACTTTCTTTTCTCCTTTACCTCTTCAAACACATCACAGCCAACAACCAAACAGGTCAAACAACATACCCTAGAATACCCCAAACTAACGAATAGCCACAACATTCAACTTTTCCCTCAAAGCCTAAAAGCGTGCTGAAGGTAAGGCCTTGGTAATCGAACATGCAATCTGAAATTGTGCTGGAACATAGTTGTCTTCCAGAAGCTGATAAATAACTTTCTCACGAACAAAATGAACATCTAGATCTACATGTTTTAGTATCGTATGTAGAACTAGATTGGCTGCCATAGCCACAGTGCTAGTGTTATCACACCAGATCTTGGGTGTATGAGAAAGCTGGACATGCATATCAACTAAAACAGCTTTGACTCACAACATTTCTAAGGTAGCGTCCGCGAGGCTCTGATATTCTGCCTCGGTAGTAGAACGAGAGACAGAGCGTTGTATCTTGGAACTCCAAGTAATGAATTGATTCCTAAGATAAACACAAAATATTGACACCGAACGCCGATCGTCAAGATCACTTCCCCAGTCTGCATCAGAAAAACCAAAAAGTAACAGAGATTCAGCTTGTTGTTTAATCCGTAAACCAAAATTCAACATTCCCTTAAGATACCAAAATATCCTTTTAACCGCAGACCAATGTATCTAACACAGTTGTTGCATATATTTAGAGACTTTGTGAACTACAAAGGCTATATCAGGACACGTATGATACAGATACAGATACAGCAGAGCACATATAGCACATTTGTACACTTGAGCATCAACGAGATCGCCACCAGTTTTGCTCAACTTCGGAGTGACTGTATTGGAGTCTCAATAGGTCGAGGCGTCGAGCCTGTTCCATGTTGAACTTGGCAATAAGTTCCTCAACATACTTGCGTTGACTAAGGAACATACCATCCTTCCCACGCTTAGCCTCTATCCCTAGAAATAATGAATTAAGCCCAGATCCTTCAAAGATAATTTGTTATTAAGCTCACCAATGATTTGCCTAATATGCACCTCCAAGGATCCTGTGATAAGTATGTCATCAACATACACAATAACGTAAGTATTTATATCAGTTGAATTATACACGAACGGAGAAGTATCAGCATGAGATGATACAAATCCCAGTAAACACAAGTGGTCACATAATTTAACAAACCAATTTCTAGGGGCTTTTCCTAGCCCAAACAAAGCTTTGGTTAACTTGCAAACCAACTACTCTCTATTAGGCCCCACTTGCTCATAACCTTCAGGCTGCCTCAAGTTGACTTCCTCGCACAAATCACCTTTGAGGAAAGCATTATTAACATTAACTTGATGTACTTGCCAACCACAGGAGACAACCAGTGAAAGAAAAATGTTAAGAGTGAAAATTTTAATAACGGGACTAAAGGTATCCATAAAGTCACACCCTAGAAGATGGGCATAATCCTTTGCAACGAGCCTAGCCTTATATTGACTTATAGTTCCATTAGGATTGTACTTTATGCGAAACAACCATTTACAGCCAATGGCTTTCCTATAAGAGGGAATCTGAGCCAAACTCCAGGTTTTATTGTCAAGTAGTGCATTGTACTCAGCCTCTACAGCAGCACGCCACTGAGTATGTTGCAACGTTTCCTGTACACAAGGAATATTCACGAGAGTTGTACTATAAATCTCTGGTCCGAAAGTAACCACTTTACTCTGAGTTATCATGTTGTTCTGATTGGTATTGACTAGAGCTATTACCAAGGCATCAGTAGGAGCAATTGTAACCTCAGCAGAGAAACCCTGTTGAGCATTTTCAGGCATCGAATTTGTCTGTTATGGCTCATCACCAACATTAGAACTGCCAGGACTCATGTTCTGTATTCGATTCCATTTGTATCTCCCCCACTATTGGAGTAGTGCTTTCCACATGAGTTGCTTCTAGCACTCACCATGCTCGACTAGGAAATTTTTTAATTGGCACAACCTGCTCACTTGAACGAGCCTACATGTCAATGTATTTTAGAAGAGAAAAGGGGAAGTTGGTTTCATCAAACTTCACATGACGAGAAACGTAAATTCTGTCATTATTATCAACACATTGGTACCCTCAATACTGAGGGGAATATACAAGAAACACGTATGATTTTGACCTGTAGTAAAACTTATGCTGATTGTACAATCTTAAACATGGAAAATATTGACAGCCGAACACACAACATTTTGTAATCTGGTTGCTCCCCATAGACCTTTTGATATGGATTGGTGATATACCCCCAAGAACACCTAATGGTAGCATGTTAATCAAGAAAACAGTAGTTAGAACTACGTATGACCAAAAACGAAAAGGAATTGATGCCTGAACCAAGACAGTTAGAGTTGTATCAATAATGTGGTGATGTCGTCTTTCAACTACACTATTTTGCACAGAGGTGTAAGGACACATTACCTTGTGTTGCACCCCTGTTGCAGCTAAAATAGCGTCCAACGCACGAAATTCTTCTCCCCCATAAGTTTATAAAGCTAATAATCGAGATTGAAACTAGTTTTTAATCATAGAATGAAACATATTAAATGCTTGTAACACATCAAATTTATTTTTTAAGAGGTAAACCCAACAACGTATGTTATAACACATAATACTACTAACTAGTCGATTTGACTGGTGCAAGTCCCCATACATCAGCCTCAACCAATTCAAACATGCTAGTATAAACCATATTAGAACTAATAAAAGGAACAAAGTGACTGTAACACCCTAATCCAGTTAGACACGAAGATCTATGGATTACAATGTTACACGAGACTACCGAAATAGCGACCCAAATTTTCTTTTAAATCTTCTTGTAAATCTCTGAAATTTAGACATTCATAATGTAATATAAAAAATAATAATAAATTGGGTTTATAAAAAATAGGGAGCTCCCAAAATACATCCGCAAAATAATACAAAATATTGAGTTTCTAAAGAGTTACGACTTAATACATAACAAGGTTCATAACAGTACATGCCCTCTAAAGATGACTCAAGACGTACTCTAAAAGGTTTACGGAAATCTGAATCGGCTGCATTGGAATATCTGATGATGATAGCTCCCCACGATATGCTTCCGAAGAACCTATGGATGGAAACACATTCCGAACGCTGAGCTTACGAGCTCAGTGCCTCACTAAAAATTATACTATACTATATGCATTCACTAATGAAATGACAAGTGACACATGTCTGAGTGTACAACTACTAGACTATTAATATGTGGTTGGCATCATGATGCAGCTGAGGGATTCTGCATCTCGGAGCTCACACACCCCTCTAGCACTGCTGAAGCACTATCAGGTACTCCTGGGTGAGATCCAAAATTCTGCATCAGAACGTGCACCCACCGACTTACTCCGTCGAGTATTGGAGCATCTGGCACGCAGTCTGCTACTATAGTGTCGTGGCACTAACTTGGATCCACTGACTGTCGTATTTATGCTAAAAGAAACTTGGGTGTCTTGATTGTTTCCCGAGTGTCAAACAAGGCTAGTTTTATGTAAACCTATCTATTTTTGTTTCTACTGTTATGATATTAATTATTATTCTCGCTTGAAGTCTTATTTGAGGATATACTAAAATGTTAGGGTACCTCAAGTCAATTCCCTTAAAAAC